GCACCTAACAACAACAATATACTGCTAACTGAAAATTCAGTTTGAATTAACTTGGATTAGAGAAGGATTTTGCAGTCTAATTCCTTAATGACTGTTGTTGTTGGTTGCCTACATGTCGAGCACGACTTATAACTACCCTATGAACAAAAGGCTTGAAGCCCTTCTACAACTATAGGCATTTGTCAAAGTTCACAGTTTCCGGAGGCATGTTATTTAGGAAGTCGATGTCACTCCTGCTTCCAACCTCAATGAATAGAGCCTTGGAAACACCATGTAGCAGTTGATTGACTTCTGTATACTTCTTTTATATGTAAATGTTTTCGCTAATCTTCAGAAAAAGATTAAGAAAGGAATAAAACAGTACAGTTAAATGGTAACTGCAAGATTGGCAAAATACATAAAAGTTCTTTAGATTTACAGATTCCTGTCAATAATGGACATGAACTTTTACCCTTCAAAAGTATTACCTAACTTGGGAGAGACTAGAGAGCATTATGCTGAGTAAACTAACTCAGTCTCACAAAGATAAATGTTGTATAAAACCATTATTGTAGAATGAGTATAAGGATCCAAGAGGAGTGGGAGAGGTTGGAAGCAGAGGGATGTGGATTTGCAGGGGGTAGGGGGGAGGATTAACCATTGGATTGTACAATTTGATGAGTGGGGGTAAGGGATATTGAAAGAATTTGTTCTTGAAAACCATGTATTCGAATTTTGTAAATTAAACTAGTAGAAAGGGGGGGAAAAGGGAAAAATGTATATAACATCAAGAAGGACAAAAACTTCATTGTAGAACAAAACAAAAACAAGAAAAAGAAACATTGCTAATTTTCACATAAAATAATACAGAAAGGAGAAAAAAATTCCTAGAGAAATGTAAGGATCTACTTTTTCTTAGAGAAGAGAAAGTATCCTTTTTAGTGGAAGCACAGAGAGTATTTTGGGGGTGTTAAAACAAGAATGAAGGAGTCCTGGGTAAATGGTGAAGGAGAAGTACTTTAGTACCCCCCAAGTGGCTTCTGGGAGAAAGACCTGAGAAGCGGCTTCTTTAAAGATTGTTGCTGTATTAGACAACTCTGATTCATTGAAACTCTATAGGACAGAGTAGGAAACTATATAGGATGGTATTACTATATCACATGGGGTCACCAAGAGCCAAAAATTGGCACTATGTCACCTAAAACAAAAGATGTTTGCTTTACCTGGCTTTTTCACAGCACCCTCTAATTTTGTTTATAATGGGAGCTACAGCTGCATGTCATAGATTAACACAGTGGCTGCAACCATCCACCAGTGTTTCTGTTTTAATGGGGAACCCACTCAATGGCTCCTAACAATAGAGTTGCCAAGAAAGCATTATAAAGTTTTCTCCAGAAAGTCAAGCAGTCTTAACATCACTAGGGGTGCAGACCAAACGCCATCACCAATTAAACCACAATCTAGTTTTGAGAAGAAAACCTAGTGTTCGGTCTTAATGTTAACCAGATAAGCACTTCAGGTGTTCCATATCAGCTGCACAATGAAGGGAAACCAATACTTACACACTCTTCCTTTTGCAGAAACAAGAACCAAGTTTTGTATGGGGACAAAGAACAGGTGAAAGAAGGCTCAAGAAAGTTCAAGGCCTTGTCATAACTATGACATTTATGAGCTTAAGTATTTTTTTTTAGAAATAAAGACTAAATTGAGCATTCAACATGTAGGTACATGTTATAGTACCTATTTCCCTTTTCTTCACCAGCTAAGTGACTATGATAGAGCTATTTTGGAGTATCTGGATCCATTTCCAGTGTCATGAATGTGGGGAGCTGGAGGCCTAGATCTTAAGAGAGTTGTACTGCTAACCTAAGAGGTGGTCATTTCAAATCCACCAGTAGCTCTATGGGAGACAAGACTGGCTATCTTGTCCTGCATGATTCAGAGTCTCTGAAAATCTGCTGGAGCCACAGCTATTAGTCAGCTCTCACTTGAACTCAATAAGTTGATATAGGGACAGAGATAGAAATACATAATATAGACCTACACTGTGGTTGATATGTATCATCTAGTAGAACTGACTCTTAGCTGACTCTGAGGATGGTTTTCAGAGATAGCAAATCACAGGGCAGGAGATGACTCATATTCTGTGGAGCAGCATAACTCCTTACCACTAAGTCATCAAATAGAGAAAAGACTGAAATTGCCAAAGATTTAATCTTGCTTGGATCCACGATCAACATCCACGGTACCAGCAGTCAAGAGATTGAGACATGAATAGCATTCGGAAAGTCTACTATCAGGGATCTTTTCAAAGTCCTGAAGAGCAATGATATCAGTTTAAAGACTAGGGTGTGCCTGATCCAAGCCATAGTCTTTCCAATCACCGACTGGATAATCATTAAAAATCATAGGGGGCACAATCAATAAGAGTGCATCTAAATTCCAAAATCAATCTCCATAATAGTCTATGTGTTTCCTACTGCCAAAGCGGCCATTTAGAGTAGTGAGAGAAGATCTTCACCCTGAAACATAGGGGGGAAAATTGATGCATTTGAGTAGTGGTCTGAGAGAAGAGTGTTGAATATTCCATGTACTGCCAAAAGAACAAAATATGCCTTGCAGCAAAGACAAGAGTGTTCCTTAGAGGCAAGGATGGTGAAGCTTTCTCTTAAAATATTTTGGACATATTGTTAGGAGAGGGACATCATGGTTGGAAAGGTGAACTTCACACTTGGAAAGTGGAAGGTCAGTGAAGTACAGGAATCCCCTAAACAGATGGATTGATACAGAGTCTGCAGCTAAGAGCTCAAATGTGTTAGTGATGAGGATAGGGTTCTGGTCTGTTGTTCATAGGTTCAGTGTGATTCCTACTTGACTCAGTAAGACTTAACAACATCTCTATCTCCATCTTATCTATAGGACATGTCCAGTGATGTACAGAAATATTTATTTTATATACACACACACACACACACACACACACACACTTGAAATGTCTGTTGAAAACACCTATTAACTCTTCAAGGCATCGCGCAGAATGTCATCAAAAAGGACCTTTTGGAACCTAGAAAAGTGGAATAAATTTGCCACTTAATGATTTGTTCACTCTATATCAAGGATCATTTGCAAAGTCTTTTACTCTGAGGTAACTCTATTCTAAATTCTTTGTGCAAATAGTATTAAATTCATCTATTCCATTCAAAAATCCTTAAGTGCATTATTATAATTATCTCCATTTGACGGATGGAACTGAGGCACTAAGAAATTAAGTAAATTGCTCCAAGTCATATAGCTATTAAGAAGGCTCCAGATGAAATTGCAGCCCAGACACTCTGGCTCTGAAATCTATACTTTTAACCACTGTGCATTGCTTTCTTTGTGTTTTAAATATTGGGTTAACCGGCATGCAGATGATATACCAAATAATGACAGGACTTGAAAGAGTTAAGGCAAAGCCTACCCACAAGTTGAAAAAAAAATGAAAACAAACTAGCCAGCGAGCGCCAGTTCGCCAGTTAAAGCCCCTGCAGGAATTCAATGGGGCTCCTGTTTCTTTAAACTCTCCCTTTTGTTCCCGCCGACACTTTACAAAGCAGCCGCCAAGGCGGCAGTGGGACTTCATTGCTGGGGGACACCATCCCACCGCCTCTGGGGTCTGGGGTCCGCCGGAGGATTGGCGGGGTCTAGGACTAGACAGACTCAGTGTTTGCTTCCTTTACACTCCAACTACCGCCACATAAACCCCCCTGGGAATGAAGCGCAGTAATTAACCCATTAGCGCCCGGGGGAGACCCCATGTGGCCGAGCCACGTCCCGGCACCAGCACACGCGCGAGGACCACCCGCGGGCCTCCCGGGTGCGGGCGCGGGAGTCCGGGGATGGCGCCCCGACTGCTCGGCGGTGCCCGGCTCGCCCTTCCTGGCGTGGTTTCCTCGCCTCCTCTCCCTTCGGGGCCCTGGCTGCCGGCCGGGGTTGCCCTCTCACGCCCCCTCGCTTTTCTCCCCCGGCTTAATCTCTGCGCCGCTCAGCAGCCGGTCGGGAAAGAGTGCAGCCATTGGGCAGGTCGGCGCTGGCTGCTGGGTCGGCGAGGAAGGTGGGAGCCGCTCCGCGGAGCGAGGGGGAGGGCGGAAGGAGGCGGGAGGAGGGTGTAGCGGCCGATCTGGCAAATAGCGAGCTGTCTCCACTCCCAAAGTGTGGCTCTGCGAGCGCCGGGCGCGCCGCGGCACCTCCTCCGCACCAAACTCCCGGGGCTCGGCGGGGGCTCGGCCACCTCCTCCTGAGCAAGGAGGAACCCTCTATCCGCAAGGGTTCAGCCAGACTTTCCCCTCCCCTTTCTTTCCTCTTTTTCTTTTTCAATAAACACATTTCCCCTGACTTCGGACCTCCGACTGTTGGAGCCAGAGCCACCCAGGCTCAGCTCTCCGGGGCCCGGAGAAAGGACGCGCGCCCGGCGTCGGGTGAAGAAAAGAAGAAAAACTTGTCCGAGGGGTTTCACTTGCTCACTGGAGCCCCCTTTTCTGCAAACCCCGACTTCCAGGGGAGCCATCCCAAGACTGGGGAAAGTTCCTGAAAGCGGCCAGGATTCTCGGATTTGGAGGCAGCACCAGCGCTTGTTGTGGATTTAAATCTGTTTTGAACCCAGTGGAGCACGTCGCGCGGACTCGGAAGTCACCTTCTGCAGCCACTTGGGGTGGCGCTGCTGTGTGGAACCCAGAGTTTGGGATCCCGGGCTGCAAGTGGCCTTTTCTTCCTGCAGTTATTCTGTGTCTGTGGCTAGGGCTCCGAGGCTGGCAACTTGGCGAAAAGAGAGACTACGAGGTCCAGAGAACTGCGCTCCACATCCTACCCCACTTCTTCCTTCTCCCAGCCACGAGGTGAGAAATCCCAGTGAAATTACACAGGCCTCGCAATCCCGGAGAACCGGTGGGTAGCTCCCGACCTCTTGTCCCGGCTCCCACCAGGAGCCCGAAGCACCGGCGCTGGGAAGGATTGGCGCGGACCGCCGGGGAGGGCTCGGCAGCGGCATGGCGCGCTTCCCCAGGGCCGACCTGGCGGCTGCAGGAGTTGTGTTACTTTGCCACTTTTTAATGGAGCGATTTCAGTTCGTGGAAGGGGAGACTGGAAACCAAATCAAAGGTAAGATGCACTTTTGTTTGTAAATTTGGTGCGCGACTGAAGACCTCTCCGGCACCCTCTTTCCTATCCCACTCTTACTCCGTGTGCCCTTGGGAAAGTTATTGTAGTTGCTTTACAAGTAAACTTGGGCTCCCAGATTGGGAAGAATTGGTTTGGCAGGAGAGGAACGGTAGGAAATGGGAATTTTGTTGAGGATTCCAGCTTGCCTCACCTGAGCGGCAGGGGGTGGTACTGCCTCCCTAGGTCTTACACTGACAAGGCGCTAACAGTAGAGCAAACCTTTGGATACCTCAGTCCGGAGCGGGCATCTCTGGACTGTATCCTGGTCGGCTCCTCCTCCATCCCCTGCTGCTAGGATAAACTAAAGGGGTGCATGTATGATAGGGGCTGTCCTGGTCGCCAGGGATGCCAGATCTTCCCTCACGAGATGATTCCCTGCAGTGGCTTCTTCCTTCTTCAGATAGCCCTCCCCTTAGCTCCAAGTCACGGTCTGCGAGTGAACCCTGGAAGTGGGGTAATGTAGATGGGATTGGGCAGCCGTGAGACGAGGATGTGGAAGACTTGGGGGCGGGTACATCCCTGGAGACCCACCCCTTGCTCTATTGTCCTCCGCTTGCCAGTCTCTCAAGCAGGCCAGCATGAGTAGAATGCCCTGAGATTGCCCTTGAGCTGAGTTCTGGTCTCCGCATCTCCCCCTCCCACCGGTGGCCCTGGCTTTCGCTTCTGCCAGGTGCGCCTTCTGCGAAGAGCCGCGCCCCTGGGCGAGTGCAGAGCTGCCAGTGTCGCCTTGGCCGGCTGCTGGCAGAGTTCCCCCGGGGCCTGAGCGCCTAGGTCCAGCTGCACACTGACAGGCTGCACCTCATTTCTGCCTCTTCGTGAAGAAACAGGGGAGTGGGGGAGAAGTGGGAGAAAAAGATCTACAGAAATTTGTGAAACCTTAATACCATTCCTTCCTGCCAGCCAAACAACGACAGTTATAAAAACAAACGAGCAAGTAAGCAAGCAAATAAAAAAACACTTGGGGAGAAAAGAGAAGGTAATGAACACTTTCTGTTGAGGATTACAGTCAATGAAACTGTATGCTTCCCCATCTGGTTAGTATTATGGTCAATGAAAAGGCACAGTTCTCTAGTCCTCAAACCTGGGAGTCACCGAGAGTACCTTGGGGTTTCAGAAAAGGTAAATCTTGAAGGAAATCGGAAGGAAATTTTCTCATGCTGAGATTTTCCCTGGATTAAACTTTTACAGAGAAAACCTCGATGCTGACTCTGCATTCCTGTATTCGTGATTCAGAGGTGGTGTTTGTGGAGGGACAGAGGGCGGCACTTAAAGCGAAGAATGAAATACACATTTCTGTGTTATTGATTTCCTAGACACTTGTAATTGTTCTTGACTAGATAGTCTTTATAAAAATAGGTTGTTTGGGTTTTTTGTTTTTTTTTTTTTAACTCTGTTCATTTCTTGGATTCATTTTGTGGATTGATAGAAGATTTTGCCAGCTCAGGATGCAACATTTACTAAAAAGATGCAACAGGAAGTTGCATTAGTATCTTCATAGGATAAATAAATACTAAAGGAAAGCAATTTATTTGACAAAAGAAGTTGATTTACTTCAAAAAGGAAGTTAAAGGAAGTCTGTGTCAAAAAGCATCAAGAGTTATTTGACAACTTCTTTGACACTAGATTATTTCTACTAATGTATTTACAGTAAAAAACAAAAATAATTTTCCCCTTAACTTTTATTTATTACTTTAAATGGACTATGTATATACCTGCTATTCTGAATTCCCAGGCTGACAGTGAAATTCATCTCACTTTATGATTATTCAGATAATTAAAAATGCAACTGCTTAAGTTATCAAACATAAATATACCAATATTTTAAGTATTTCTGTTGGAAAATTTCTGGAGAAACACTGTATAGGAGTGAATAAAAAAGGAAATAGTTTTAAATGTCTTGGTGGGGTTTTGGAGGCTTTATTATAAACCAAAGTATCATTTTCCCTGGATTTAAGTCTACCTATAGCTATAGTTTATGAAAAAAAAAATCTTAGAATTAAATGCCTGGCCAAAAAATACAGAAAGGTGAAACTGAATAATATCTCATTTTCTTTGTAAAACAGCATCTGAAAGTTCAATACAGGACATTTTTTAAAAAGTCAACAGTCTTGAAATTTGGCATGCAACAATAAGTTTTTATTACAGACATTTTGGCAAAGGAAAAGAAATTTGATTTCATAACAGGGACATTTTATTATGTATTACTGTAGTAAGTTCTGTAGTTAATCTCATTGCCACTAGAGGGCAGAGAAAATGCTAATTTCTTCTCATTCTTTCAATTTCTCAGATTAATGATCCACAATGTTTTGTTTTTCCTAAATGGAATACTTTTTGGTATTTCAGTATGATGTTTATAAATGGGAATCAATTTAAAATAATTAGATTTCATTATATATCTAGTTTTAGTTGAAATCAACTAGTCATTTAGCATTTATGTAAGGTCACCAGTATGTGAAGACCTGTACTTTGAATATAGAAACAGATCTTAAAGGCAGCTTTAGGATAGATAGAAAATGATTGATGTTGTCAACTATTTCATTTTACTTGGATCTACAATTAACACCTGTAGTAACAGCAATCAAGAAATCCAAAGATGTGTTGATTGAGAAAAATCTGCTGTCAAAGATCTCTTTAAAATCTTAAAAAACAAGGATGTCATTATAAACACCAAAAAGCACCTGCTCTATGTCATGATATTTTTCAGCAGCTGCTTATGCAGCTGAAAGTTGGACTATGAAAGAGGATAACCAAAAAAAGAATCAATACCTTTGAGTTGTGTTTTTGGCAAAGAATATTGAATATCCCATGGACTGCCAAAAGAACAAACAGACCTGTCTTGGAAGAGATGTAAGAAAGAATCTCCTTCAAGGCAAGAATGGTAAAATTTTATCTCATATACTTTGAGCATGTTGTCAGAAGGGACCAATCCTTAGAAAAAGACATCATAATGGAGAGGTGGAGAGTTGGGGAAAGAGAAGATGACCCTCAGCAAGATGGATTGACACGGTATAACAGTGGCTGCCAACATATTAGAGATGTTGAGAATGGTGCAGGATAGGGAAAGGTTAAGGTCTGTTTATTGGGTCACTGTGAGTCATAGTGGACTGAACACCACTGATACCAAGAATGTACTTTGAGTGCATTTTTTTCCCTTCCCCCCCTTATTAAGTGCACTTTTATGGTGAAACAGGTCCAGTCGGAAAAACCAGATGTCTTTTGTATCATAATTAGAGATCATTAACAAGTTATTGTGAAATTTTTTAAAATATGGCTTTGAAATACCCTGTTTATGATTAAAAATGTGTTGCCACATAATGAGAGAGCTCTGGTGGCCTTATGACAAGAAGCTGTGCTGCAATCCCAAAGGCACATGCTTTGAGGCCACCAGCCACTCTAGAATGTGGGGGGAAGGATGGGCAGTCTCCTCCATTGTTATTAATGGCCTCTGTAAACCTGCTGAAGGGTCAGCTATGAGTTGGTTCCAGTTGATGGTACACAACAACAATAACATCACAATGTGGGTAACGATTTTGAATATTTAATATTTTATATGAATATTTGAAAAATATTTACCCACACCTGTAAATGTTGTTGTTAACTACTGTTTGTTGAACTGGAACTCACTCATGACTGACCCTCTAGTGGGTTTTTCAGAGGCAATATAATGCAAAGGAAGAGATTGTCCATCTTTCTCCCATAGAGCTACTGGTGGATCTGAACCAAATGCTTTCGAGTTGTAAGCACAACTTCTTACCACGAAGCCACCAGAGCTTCCACAATAATAGCTATTGTGTCTTAGGACTGAAATTTACACAGACATAAACTTAGACTGATTCTATTATATATAATCTCAAGTTATCTCATAACAGTTGATTAGAAAACAGCTGGGTAGACAACATGTAAAGATCTATTAATGCCTTGAAGAATTTTATGTCGTGAAAAAGGTATAAAACATGTAGTTCAATTTTGGCCTAGTTAAATGTTACTTAATGCAAGAGGAAATTCATTATCATGATATAGTAAGCAGAAGTGATTTAGGACCTCAGAGAATTCTCACTTTTAAACTTTAATACTACTGTGGAAAAAAAGGAGTCTTGGTGGTATAGTTTACACTTGCGTGCTAATAAAAAAAGATAGTAGTTTTAACCACTAGCTATTCTGTCGGAGAAATATGAAGCAGTCTACTTCCTTGAAGATTTGGCCTTGGAAACCCATGAGGCAGTTCTACTTTGCACTGAAGTGAGTTTCGTTTTAATGTCACTGTAAATTAGATGCTTCGGTGGCAAGGTCTGTAGGGAGTTATGCTACTAACTCAAAGTTGGAACTTCTCTGGATGTTAAAATTCACCATTAGCTCCAAGGGAGAAAGATGGATAGTCTCTCTCAATATCATTTACAGCCTCAGAAACCTCTCCGGAGAGTCAGCTAGGAGTAGGCTTCCATTCACCACCAATGACTGTGGGTGAGTGATGGACTACATCAGATCCCAGTGCCATTGATGGTCAAAGCATTCAGCTGCTAAACAAAAAGCTGGGTGGTTTGCTCCCGTAAAGATTTACAGTCTTGGAAACTACCTGGACAGGCCAATATTTGGGGAAAGATATGCAGGGACAAGTAAAGGGTCGCTGAAGGAGAAGAAGACCCTAAATGAGATGTATTCATGCAGTGACAGCAGCAGTGGGCTTGAGTGTGGTGATTGTGCAGAAGGCCCGGGACAGGGCAAGGTTTTGGTTTCTTGTTTGTAACATCTCTTACATTCTTAGTCAACATTGTTGTGATGTGCTAGCAAGTTAGAGTATACTCATAGCTGAACCCACAGAGATTGTAAATGACATAGGAGGAGATCACCCATCTTTTTATTGCAGAACAGCCAGTGGATTCAAACTTGTGCTCTTGGCTTGGGTTTAAACCCTGCGCCTTGGAATTGGCAGTCCAGCTCCT